TACAATGATTGGATCATTGCATACTTGGATGAATGAAATATGGAAATTGAATAAATTAATAAAATATAAAAAATACACTATCGTTACAAATTGAAAATATAAAATTACATTGTTAAAAAATTAAAAAAGTGTTAAATAAAATTAAAAAAATTACAATAATTTGAAAAAATAAAAAATTCTATACAAGTAGTCAAATTCATTAATCATCATTCATGACTTTCATCATCATTTGTTTTGGGTGAAATATCTGAAGTAGTATCATGCCCTCTCTTGTCTTGTAATCTATCTTCTGCATTTAGCCAATCCTTGAAGCAGATGCACATTTTTATGCTCACATCGTTCATGTAGCTTTTCTTGTCATCCAACACCTTGGTACGTGCACTAAAACAAGACTCCGATGGAACTATAAACACAGTAGGGGTTAGTAGATCACATGCCATGGCGGCGAGAACTGGATAATTTTTTGAATGTTCACTCCACCAGGCTAAAATATCAAAATTATTTGATCCTTCATCTAAATTAGAAAAAATTGCTTGTAAATAAAAATTAAGTTCAGTAAATGAACTTGTTGTAGAATTAGTAGATTTTTGCCTTTTACTTATTAAATAAAAAAGTTTTTCTCTTCTACTACTGACTCAAAGTCAGAATTAGAAGAAGATGATAAACAAGTTGTAGTAATATTTCCTACAACTTCAGATTCATACAAGCTGTACATTTCAAATAATAAATTATTAATTTATTCTTTTTTATTTCCTATATCAATATTCATATTTTCACAATATGATTCAAGTAAAATATCTAAACCATCTTTCTTAATCCTAGGGTCTAATATTGTAGCTAAACAATAAAGGGGAGAAATGTTCTCCTAATATTTTTTAAATTTATTTTCCATAATTTCAAAAATACATTAAAATTATGGATTATTTCTCTATTTTGCAAAACAATCACTAATTACCATTAATTGATAAGGTAAATTACTACTAGTTGGATAATAAATTCCAAATAATTCATTAGTTGCATCATAAAAATGTTTTAAAAAATCTCTTATACAAACTTCCATTTCCCAGTCTTTCTCAAATATCATATCATTAGGCATTTTTAAATTATAAAATTCAGAAAGAATTTGTTTATGAGATATACAACTTTCTAACATAGYATATGTAGAATTTCACCTATGCTTTACATCTAATATAAAATGTTTATATTTTAAATCATAATTTTGACATAAATATTTAAATTCTTGATTTTTTGCCCCTAAACTTTTTATATATATTATACAATTTCTAATTTTTGAAATATGAGTAGAAATAATATTCAAGGCATCTTGAATACATAAATTTAAGATGCGACATGCACATCTAACATGAAATAAAGATGTGACATGCACATCTAGTATTCTTAGAAATTTTTTATATTGTGGGTTTATAGAACTATGCAACCATTTTTCTAGCTTTGGATCTTCAGCTAATATAAATAGTTGTTTTGCATGTAAAATATACTTAGCAAGTTCTTGTCTCATTTTTTCTTGTGAATATTTAAAAGTACCAAAACTACTCCCCCTCCTAATCTGTGTTTGGGTTGTTTCTCTCCCTTCATCTTCTTCTCGCTCATGTGTGAGCAAATGTCTGGTCAAATGACTTGTACCACCCTTGCTACAATAACTAAAGTCTTTCCTACATTTTTGGCAAACGACTATATTCCCCTTCCCCTCAATATCCTCTACTTTGAAATTTTTTCAAACTGGGTTACTTAGCTTAGAAGTCCTCCTTTTTCCCTAGTATCAGTACCGAGGGTGAAAGTTCCACTTCCATTGATATCAATCGCATCAGTGCTAACACTATCGTGATGCGATTGAATATTATCCATGGTGAACATGTTGGAGAATCGGTTTTTAGAAGAATTGGCCATTTTTTTTAATTCTAAAAAGATAAAAATTAATCAAATTCGACTTACCCGGATTGTCAGTTCAAAATCCCAACTTGATTTCAACGGTTGAAGCCTTTCAACTTCTTAGCCTCCCAAATTGAGATACTTGAGCTGGTTGAGCAAGTCTTCTTCTTGTTAAAAGTCGAAACTTCAACAAAGTTGAGACTTGAGAATTGGAGAATGCAGAATCAGACAGTCAGCTAACCACAATTATTCAGATTGTAGAGAATTGAGAATGAATGAGAGAGAGAAAGAGAGAAGAGATTAAGAGAATTGTTAAATTGGTGTGATGAGAATGGTGGAGGATAGGGCTATTTATTGCAATTAAACATAATTCAATTGCCCAAAAAACTAGCTGTTATTTAGTTGTTGGGAGGGGTATTTTGGTCATTGTAAAGTTACTTATAACTTTATCCAAAAGCCCCCTAAACTAGTTGTTATATAGCTGTTGGGAAGCATTTATGTCATTTTCTCAATCTTTCATAAGCAAAATACACAAATACCTTCCTAATATGATTGTTTATAGCTGTTGGGGGTATTTCTGTATAAAACCCCAAAAAATTTGAAACTAGCCATTGGGCCCCTTTGGGGGGGACCCAATGGCTATATTCCAGGTGGTCCGAGTGCGGCCTGCGGGCCGTGCTAGTATGTGGGCTGTGGGCGACGCGACACAAGCTATTGTGCTGTGCCATGCCGGCCCATGGGCCTCGAACCCTTGGCCCAACACAGCACGGACCTCCGTGCCGGGCCTGGCACGGTACTTAGCCTTGATTTAATGGTAATCAGTGATAGTGGATTGTATCTTCTTAATCATTCTTTTGCTTGTGTCTTTTTTTTTGTGAGAAATGAACTAATTTACCAATTGACATGTCTTATACCAAAGAATTACAATGGTAATTGAAAAGTTTCTTATTTTAAAATCAGATAACTATTTTTTATTTCTTTTAGGAAATTTTCCTCTATTCTTCCAAAATATACAGTTTTAAGGATATATATTCAGGGCCTCTTAGCTTCAAGTTGTTTTCACACTTGGTATTGTTGCATGGCTACCTCAATATTATAAGTTATAACTTTTACAATGGTTAGCTTAGTTGTTATTTATACTTTCAGAGAAGTTCGGACTTGTCAATCTTAATATAAATTGGAAGAGAAATGTAGCCAATATATACTTCGACAAGTGTTTCTTTGGTTTGATTTTTTGTGCAAAGGTTTGGATATTGCAGTTAAATAGATTTAAAAGAAAACAGCATATATGGTCTTGATTTGGTGGTTGATTCAAATTTGGTGCTTAATGCAGACCACTGCTGAACATATGTGGCAAAGGGGAGAGAAAAGCCACCGGTTTTCCTTGATTCCCTTAGGCTGTGTTTGGTTTGAAGGAAAGAGTAGGGAAAGATAGAGAAAGTTTTACAAACCTTTGTATAGGTTTTTTTTCCTTTCCCTACTTTTTCCTTCAAACCAAACATAGCCTTAGAGGCTCACCTTTTATTTCTAAAGGGGGGTAAGAAATGGTTTGTACTCCTGTTTCATGAAAACCTATCATCATCCTTTATTTTTTTTTTCAATTATAAATGCACTACCCCTCTTAATCACATTTAGAATCTGGAGGCATTGGATGCTAGGAAGAGATATGCAAAGGAATATACATGTTTGGAAGATCTTGTTAATTTTTGTATGATCATTTCTATCCAAGAAATAAGGGGAAAGGCACAATATGCATGGAGGAAAATATTGTTTACACTTGCAAGTTGTTTCTTTTTTTTTTTTTTCACATATAAAAAAGATGTGTTTTATTTCTTTTCTTATGTAAAACATTAGAATCTTTGCCTATATCTTTTTTATCCATTATTTTGTTTTTTCAAGAACACTAATATGCACGACCCTTAGACATGAGTGAGAGGTGATTTTATGCATGGCATATCCGAGGTGCCTTTGTTTTCCTAAATTGCACATACAAAATGGATGGTTTTAAATTGGTTGGTAACTCATTCAAAGATGTAAAAATTTCAATTTTTATTTGTATAAATCTCATTTCTATATTCAAGTTGGATAAAATCATTTCTTACTTTGAATCTTGGGCTTAAGAGATTATGTAGCTTGCATACGTTTTGGGCCATTTCATCTGTCCTTGCATTCTTTTGGAAATAAATTTCCTATAAGCTTTAATTTTAAACTAAGTGTTATATTTACACAAAAATTAATTATTTTAAATAAATTTGCAATTTTCTTTTAATAATTATTAATTTCTATTATTTCACTTTCTTTTGACAACAAATTCGGTACACCGCACGGGTCTCTGCTGGTAATTAAATAATCAAGGTATAGTGAATAGTGATGTACTGAACTGAAGATTCAGCTGTGAGCTGTCTGAGCGAGCTGGAAAGGCCTACTGTTCCTGATTTTTGACGGTCCAGGCCAATTCAATATGGTAGTGGAATGTACCTGGTTGACTGGTTGTTATGTGCATAATTATATAATTAAATTGAAAAGTTAGGGTTGGATAATAATGATAATGATTTATGGCCTTTATGGGAAAATAGTTGAGTTGAGATGGAGTTTGTAGATGTAGACGTGCAGTTGCACTGTTGTGTTGCAGGCCGGGTTTTAATTGGGAAACACCAACTCCCTCACTAAAAACAAATTAGAAAGCTGGATCATGGATGGGCTTTTCCCGCCGCGCGTCAGCCTGTTCGTGTTTTTCTTTCTTTCGGTTATAAGGGACCAGCGAGAGAGAATAAAATAAAAATGGAGAGAGAGAGAGAGGGGGGGTGACTGTCCAAATTTATTCGTCTTCTCTCGACTTGAACAGAACAAAAATGGAATAAAGATGACTGTCCACCCAGAATCACCATTAGAATAAAATAAGGATTATTAATTCATTGGATGTGATTTGTGAATTGTGAAACGAAGAAGGAAAAGGATAATGACAATCCCAACTTATAAGAAAAGGGTAAAGAAGAAAGAGAATAATGGAGGACGTCGATTCGAATATTTGTATATATATATATATATATTTCAATTTTCAAATAAACATGTATTATTTCTTTTCTGTTAAAACATTTCAGTTTTAATGTATTGAATTGAATTCAATGGAATCCTGCCCAGACAATTAGACATGCACAATCGTTAAGGGAAAGAGACGCAAAGGAGCAGGGCATCCGATGAGAGGCCAACAGTGAGACAGCTTCTTTTTGGTTCCCATTAACACAGGAGAGGCCCCATTTCTGCCTCTCTCTCTCTCTCTCTCTCTAGAGTCTATATAATCCTTTGCAAATGGGTTTACTGCGAACTCGAAGTGGGTGGCCTTTTCGTCAGACTCGAAACCGATATTAATAAAGAAAGAAAAGGTATTAATTATTCATGATTTGTTTCTTTTGATCATGTTGATGTTTGAACATTTTTCTTTTCTATTCTATTCAAGTTCATCAAAGCCTGTTAGGGTTCGTATTACGGAAATTAGGGTTTCTGGTATACGATTTTCGAGCGAATTACTGGAATTTTTGGCCGCTGTTGCTACTGTGATGATATATGAAGTTATGAGGTTCTTGTGTTGTTGTAGCTGGAGAGCAGAAAAGGGAAAACCAATCCTTTTGTTAATAGCGTAAGAGCAAGGTTGCGGTCCAAGCAGATGCCGTTGAATATAATTCACGACGTCAATGGATTGCCCAGGGTTATATTGACGGAGCCCGGCGGATCATCAGCTGAGGTCTCTCTCTCTCTCTCTCTCACACACACACATACACACACAAAAGAAGTGATTGATTACACTATGTTTGATATGATCAGAGGGGATTAGCCGTTGCGAATGTTCGGTAGATGTAATTTTGTGTGATCCGTAACTAACTTTTTGGTTGAAGCTACTATTGGGTGTTTGGGGAAAAACTTCTTGTTCTTCTTAATCAGGAGGTTTGGTGGGTGTTTGGGGAATCCTCAGTCTTTATATTTCTGTGTCTTATCCATTATAACTCAAAATGGCTGTAGGTGCTCCTATATGGTGGGCAAGTTGTGTCTTGGAAGAATGAACGCAGAGAAGAACTACTTTTTATGAGCAGCAAGGTAAACTTATTCTGATAAAAATTTCTTGATCTTTTTAATTGAGATTTCATTTTGGATTATTCCTTTAGTTATTAGGATGCTTAGGCCGGATTGTCTCAAGCATGGACATGTTCAGGTTTTCCTATTAATTGTTACTTCATCTCACCATCTCTACCAGATCTATATGCTCAAAGAATAAGGATCCTGGATATATAGTCGGAACTTCTCTTCGTTTATCCATGTTTCTCTACAAATTATGTTAGAAGATATTGAATAGAAGTGCATTTTTTGAAATTTGGACTAGTTTAAATGCTCAATGGTCATCAGAGAATTCTCTGAAGTAAAGGACTTCTATTGACTCCCTCTTTCTTTTTTATTGATGAAAATTTGAAATGCATCGATTATCAGATGCCTGCAAAGCCAAGACTAGATAGAGGATTGAACTGCATGGGTCATTACCTAGGTAACTCGGTTGGGTCAAAACTTAACCAAAATTCTACCGGACATTGGAACAATCAGGGAAATTTGATTGACTAGATGATTAAGCCAGTTTTCTAAGTGAATCCACTCAACATTTTGTACTTAAGATTTTGTTAACATTTCTAAGAACACATCTGTAGTATGGTTCTGTAATTTCTTTTTCAAGATTGCATGTTTGTGGCGCTTCTTTTTTTAATAACTATTATATTGTTAAGATAATTTTAGTTTTGACTCCTATGTCAAAAGTTTGAGCCAGTTCTTGAACCATTGACACATGGCTCCATCTCTTTATAGGTTGATCAGCTGTCCTAGTGTGAAAAAAGTAGGGAACTAGGTATAAATAAGAGAAAGCATGACATAGTATTTATTAGAATGTTATTGTGTTGTTTTTCTAATTATCATCTTTAGCCTCGTTCCAGTTATATGGTTAAAGGTGCATACATCCTTTTCTTCTATTCTTCTGTATTTAGTACCATATATTCTGCTAAAGAATAGTTTATAGATCATTTCAGAAAAAAGTTATAGATCACTTACTACTGAATTTGCTTCTATTTGACAAAAAAAGGAAAAAAAGTGTTTTCCACTAATATGATATATTTGGTACGTTATTGGGATTAAAAAATCTGGTTGGTAGGATTTCTGGAAAGAAAATATATATGACTAGAACCTAAGGTGATTAGTAAGAGTCAGTTGATCATACAGTGTGGATATTCAAAGTAGGTACAATTGCAATGATCATCCTGGAAGACATGGAAAGACATAGAATTACTATTTTACCTTTTCAGAATATCCTGAAAAATGCATCTAATGAAACATGGTGTATCTAGTTATTTTTTCTTTCTTTTTCTGTTTCTCTTCATATTTTTATACCATGAACTGCATAGCTTAAATGCAAGTCCCAATATATGCTAAGCATAACATGTGATTGTTAGAATGCTAGGAAACTTGAATGTTTTATGACCAAAAAGAACGTTGTGAACTTTAGTTCATCATATGAAATTCTGTTCTTGCATTCAAATTTGTTATATATTAATTTATACATTAATGGCACATGTCTGGATTTTCTTGCATGTATGGCTCTCAAAGCCGTGTTGAGAGCATTATGCTTAGTTCTAATAAATATGGTGCCTTGTTCTGTTCTACAGGCTTCTTGGAAACCACCTAAAGCTATTAGGGGAGGAATACCTGTCTGCTTTCCTCAGGTTTGCTATGTGGATGGATAGAAACCTATTTATCTTCCTTGTTGAGTCTTGGAAGTACTTAGTTTCCAGCTCTTCTTTTGCAGTTCGGCAATTTCGGGTCACTAGAACAACATGGATTTGCAAGGAACAGGTTGTGGTCTTTAGATAGCTGCCCATCACCACTGCCTCCAGTTAACAACCAGTCCTCTGTGGATCTCATCTTGAAGTCCACGGAAGAGGATCTTAGGACATGGCCACGCAGGTAAACTGTAGGGATCTTGGATTAGTTAGATAATGACAATGTGAGGAGAATACCTGCATCATGCTAACACCCAAACTTCCTGTCTAATTTAATTTTTGCAGTTTTGAGTTGCGGTTACGTATTTCGCTTGGTGCTGGCAAGCTGACTTTGATCCCTCGGGTGAGGAATACTGATAACAAGGTGTTCTCGTTTACGTTCGCTCTGCGTAATTACTTATGCGTATCAGATATCAGGTTTGCCTAGTAACCCAGAATCCACTGCTTTTGCTGGCTGTGATGAGTGATTGAGTTTTGTTCCTTTTGTTGTGTTACTTTTAAGATGTATTATTGATCCAAAAGAACTACCATTAAGATGTTGAGAGACTTGTAGATTTTTTCACATTTTCTTTTCCTTATTACGTGATTCCTTTTGCAAGTTCTGTAGTTAGGTCAGTTGGTTTCTCTTATTAGGAGCTGAGTGTGGAAGATATTCACTGTTATCCTTTCAGAGGGGTTGCATGATGCAGTTTGATTTGCAGTGAAGTGCGTGTTGAGGGCTTGGAGACACTTGACTACTTTGACAATCTAATGCAGAGAGAAAGGTTCACAGAGCAAGCTGATGCAGTTACTTTTGATGGAGAGGTATTACTTTCCTGTCTTCTTTAAATGTAGGCATAAGGCAGGCTGGGAGTAAAGCAAGAAGTTTTCAGAACCCATATGCCACATTAAGAGAGGATAATGCATTTCTCCCTTCAACTGTGGATTGAAATAAATATACTAGCATTTATTGCAGTAAGAATGGATTCAATAGGTTGGCAGCAGGGTGTAGTGCTTCTGGTTATATCATTTCCATTATGTTTGCCTGGCATATGGTTCTAAGAAATGGCTTTCTTGATGCTTTCAACAGGTTGATCGTGTGTATTTGAGCACACCAACAAAGATTGCAATTATAGACCATGAGAAGAAGAGAACCCTTGTACTCAGAAAGGAGGGCCTGCCAGATGCAGGTTTGCATTTACCCCTATGATCTCTTGCCTTTCTGTGCAACTTTATCATATAAATCTTTGAAAAACAAAATTCTTGTGTGAAGCACATCTATGTTTAAATGCATAATATAATTCAGCATGTGACATTATATGGTGGTACAGTTGTATGGAACCCATGGGACAGGAAGTCCAAGGCTCTGCCAGATTTTGGGGATGAGGATTACAAGACCATGTTGTGTGTGGATTCGGCTGCAATTGAAAACCCAATTGTCCTTAAACCCTTTGAAGAATGGAAGGGCCGGCAAGAGCTTTCCACCGTATCATCAAGTTATTGCAGTGGGCAGTTGGATCCTCTCAAGGTTCTTTACGGCTTTAGCTGACCTTAGGCAGGCTGTGTGCTAATTAATTAAATGGAGGCTTTCATTTCCTGTAATATAGACCATCTTCGCCTACAACGTGCGGTATTTACATGCACCTGTTTCTGTGTAATATCATGACTGAAACACTAGCTTTTGTCATATTTGACATAGCAACCTGCCCTTGTTTAGTGTTGAGGAAGGTTGCAGAATCCATTGAAACCTCCTTGTATGTGTATGGTTAAGTTGATAAAGTAAAGCTGTTAATTTTGGTAAATTGAAATCCTGAGCAGACTGCAATCACCATTGCACACTGCCAACAGAACCCACTTATCATCCACTAGTAGACCCCATCAATTGCAAACCATGACACCACGAGTTCATTCAGGATTTCCATGGAAGAGCTACAAATTGTCTTGTTTTGGTCGAATCAAGAAGATAACTGACTGACTTAAAATATTAATTAAATACATGAGAAGATATGGTGGTATCCATAATTTATGAGCCGCCACCATGGCTAGAAAATAGCATTTTAGCCTTATTTATTTTTGCCAAGTGCGTGTGGCTTTAATATGTTTTAACTTAAAAGAGTGAAAGCATAAACTTTCCAAATCTTTCTTTGGCTTCATTGTCCAAGACATCATCGCCCAGGTACATGTTGATGTAGGCCCTGCACAGCAATTCACTGTCCACCTTGCTCACCACCTCATCCCTTACTGCAACCACCAGGTCAAATTTGGTTTTTGAGATTTCTGTGAAAAACAAAAGGAATAGGAATTTGCATTTTCCATCTCCAATTTCTTAATTTACTTGTACCTTTTGTTTGGAGGGTGTAGCCGGGCAGCCTTGTGATCTCAATCACGGAACCAGCTGGTAGCTTGATATTATCTGTTGCCTGGCCCATGATCCTGTTATCAAAATGAATTTGTCGATTCAATTCTTGGATACGAATTAAGAAAGAAATACTCCTGTTATTAGGATTTAGGTGTTGTAAGTATAGGAGAGGCATAGAAAACTTTACTTCTTCAGCAGTTCCTCATTCTTTTGACCGGTGATCTTCTTGATAGACGCTCCAAGATTTTCGTCAAAGCTCTTTCTTACTATATTCATGGTGAGCCCAGGAAAGACGATTACCAGCCTTACCATGATTTCCACGTCACTGTCAATCGCTAACTGATACATCTCTTTGGTGGCTTTGCCTGCTGGTGCCTTCCCAATCTTCGACTTCATTAGATGTTTCATGGCTTCATTATCTGTGTAAAGCCCTGCATTGCATGATGGAATACTAATTATCTACTCTGCCCCAAAGAAAAAAACAAAGTTACAACTACAATTTATCTTTACTTAACCTGCCCATATGTCTCCTATCAGCTTCTTTTGCTACCAAGTCTATGGGTGAAGCCGTAAAGCTTGACCCTCAATTACCGCAGGTAGGCGCAAATTGTTCATTTGATCGGCTCATTCCAAATCTGGACTTTTCATCCCAAGTCCCAACCAAACCTGGGGTGCACAAGTTTTGGGCTAACTAAACTATTTTTGTAAACCTCATCCTCTCATGTCCATATTGATGTTAGACTTAATCCATCTAACTGAAAGAACAAATCAATTAAATTGTAACGAGCCAATGCAAGCCATAAGCCCGCAACTTGGTGATTGTCGCAAGGGTAACGCCCGATGGGCAATGGCTAGGAAATTCTTTTTGTGAAGATTACTTCAGACTGTGGATAACCAGGCCACATCACACCTATCAAAAAGAACATTTTCTCTCACTTTTTCTCCATTTAAAAAAGGAGGGAATGCTCCTTTTCATAGCGGATAACATCTTCTTTTCATACCTACCCCCATCAAGTCACCGTTAGTGACTATGACAGAAATGGTCTACATGCACCATTGACAAAATTAACCCTGGCCAGACAGTAAACCATATTGACTAATTTGTGTATGATGAAAACATTAAACATCCCTCGTTCATTTGTCTCCTCTATTTCATGTTTTCTGTTCATTTCACGACTCACCATTTCATGATCATTCAGTTCATCTTTTCATCTATTTCTCTCACAAGATAGGTTTTGGGCTTTTGCGTTTAACTAGGCTTATGTTTGGGAGTGTTTATGTTAAAAATAAGTGCTTAAAAACGTGTTTATTCAAATAAGTACTTATTTGCATTTGACATCCAACTTTTCTAAGTGATTATTTTAAAAAACAAGCACATATTTTGTATTGGGCATTTGGTGTCTTTTTCTTTGATAAGCACTTTAAATAAGCAATTGCGATTCTCTTGTCCTTCATTTTTCTTTCAAATTTTCAAAATATCTAATCTAAAGTGAATGAATAAAAGTACTTAGATGGAAATGTTTTTATAAAAGTACTTTTGTAAAGGTACATTTTATAAAAGTACTTTCATGTAAAAGTATTTTTATAGAAGTGTTTTCGTGAAAGACATATAAAAGTGATTTCGTGAAAGTACTTTCTTAAAGGTGCTTTCATAATAATATTTTACTTTCGCAAAAGTACTTTTTCATAAAATTACTTTTGTAAAAGTGTCTTTCTAAAATTGCTTTTATAAAAGGGTATAATTGGTATTCTAAAAATTTATTTGGGACAGTTCTGGGAGAAAAAATTTGAATAAGTGCTTTTTGTATGAGCATTTAAAAAAATCTGGAAATTTGGGCTTAAAAAAAAGGCCCATATTTTTAAAACAAACACTTATTTTGGGTTGATTTTCCAAGCACCAATAAGTGCTTAATGGTGTGGTCCCTGCCTAAATAAGCATTTATTTTGTATATGCTTTTTGTCTTCTGAATTTCTAATGGGAAATGTGATGGGGAACCTTTGGAGGTATTGAAAAGTTAGGTTAAATTTAAGAGAATCCCATAATAGTGAGGGGAGTGTTAGATTAAAAAAAAAAATCTAAAATATGAAAAAAAAGCAGTCTAAATTCAACAGCCTGAGCTATGAGCTATCAATAGAATTCTCTTCGTATGATACTTAATTCACACAAACTCCTTATACCAGTGTCAATGTTAGATGCATTGTTGGGCCTGGGTGAACAGCTAGCTGACATGGTTGTATTATCCACTCTGAAAAAGGTGCATTGCCCCTCCTTTTTGTATTGTAGTTGGTCGTCAGTGAGGCTGACCAGAATTCTATACTTGTATAATTTGTAACCACCCCAATAAAGCATAGGCAATCTGGTACGAATTTGTTGGATGAAGCATGTGTGACCATGCCAAAACTCATCTCAGCCCAGCCTGCTCGAGAATTCTTGACTTGGGCCTAGGTTTTCTATTCAGGCCCAGTCCACGCATATTTAAATATATATGTGTTTTACATATATGCAATTTACTTAATTTTTGTTTTCCATAAACCTATTATATCTAAGCATCTACTACAGCTGCCAAAGATTGAGAATATATGCGAGATTACTAAAAGCAGGCAGAAAAAGAATATATGGGTAAAAAAACGGTAAAAAGGGTTTTGATACGATACCGAAGCCGTAGACTTTGATGGTGATGCCAAGAATGCTCTTCTTTCTCACGCCAACCGTGCTCAGCTGCTTCCCGTCGTCCAGTTGGACTGGAAAGGAAACACCGGTTTTGGGTTCGACCTCCTCTTTCTGTGCATTACGCCCCTTGAGTTTAGTATCGTTCTTGGATTCAGTTCCGACTGCCTCTGCCTGCACTACCGTTGGCCCGGTCTTGGGTTCTATCTCGAGCGTCTGAGCCTTTGCGGTCACCTCATCGACGGTGGCAGCCATAACTATCGTGACAGAGTGAGAAGCAAAGGAACAAGAATTAATTAAAGATAGCCGACGGGGTTGTGTTCATGAGAAATTTGATGGTATTGGCTGGGATTCTTATAGACAAATGTGGATATAAATTAGTTAGGAGAAGCAGTTGGGCAGTGGTGGAGGCATTAAATTGGGTCTAGCCCTCATCATCTCCCCTGCCGTTGCGTCGGCTTAGACATATTGGCCCACTCCTTGATGACTTGATCAACTTGTGTGACCGACATTATTGCATTGGCATATATATACCACTCACACTCAGAATTTGGATGCAACCTGGGCCAGGTTAACTGGGTTGAGGGTCAGGTTATGATTGGGACTTGAGCCTTTGGCCAACCCGATCCAAAGCCCAAACTAAAAAAAAGGCATTGTGTATTTATATTTGCGTTCATAACTGTATATTATTCAACTGTAAACAAACAGATAACATAGAGGTATTATGTACTCCTAAAGCCAACTGGTAGCTGATAGGTCCATATAAAGATACTTGCTAGATTATCCATAATTTTGTTAATTCATGTACGAATAATCATGTGATGAGTACAAATTGATTTGAGCTATATTTTAATTCTTCTTCTACCATTTCCCAAAGTTTCATTATCATATTCCAAGAATTCACACTTCTAATAAACTCCGACAAACAGCTTTATATTCCAAATTATAAAAACCCTTGTCATGCCATGCCATGGGAGGCTTATGTGGTTATTGTCGATATAGGATTTTTATTTGGACACAATAAAAAGCTTATACCGAAATTGTCCTTTAATTGTTAGATGATTGGAAAAATTAAAAAAGGTTTTTAGTTTCTCTCTCTCTCAATCTCCCTTACACTCTCTCTCTCACAATCATCTTTATCTGCTCAACGACTATGTGATTTGAAAATAAATAAAAATGGCTTTTAGTTTTTGTATTTATGTTTTGTATATCAATTTCTCTCATTCTCTCTCTCTACCTATCGTTCTCCTTCAATCTTTCTCATTTTATTTCTCAATCGATCTCTCATTCTTCCTTAATTTCTATCGTTCTCCCTTAGTTTCTCTCCCACTCTCTCTCTCATTCCTTTTTTATTTTCTTACACACATATGATATTAATCAGATTGTATAAAAGAATATGAGACCAACTTGGTATGGTTCAAAAATCATTACAACAATTTGATAAAAATTTACAAGAAACTCTTGGCTATGAAATTCACACCAATTGGAAAATGATAGAGATTGAGGGAGAAGGAGATATTGACCGAGAGGGAGAGTAAAGGAGAAGAAAATGAGAGAGAGAGAGAGAGAGATTTTGATTTGGCTATAGACCAAAGTAGATAGAGGGAGCGAGAGATTAAGAAATGAATGTGAAAGTGAGAGAGAAGAAGGGAGATCAAGAGATGGATGGAGTGGGAGAGTAATTGAAAACCTACTTTCAGTATAGGCTTTTTGTTGTGTCCAACATGGACTAAGAGTCCCATCTTGGCAACAACCACATAAGCCTTCGATGACATGGCGGTGGTATTTTATAATTTAAAATGTAGAGCTGGTTGTCAGAGTTTTGTTGGTTTTTGGATCAACCTACAACCTAATTTTAAATGTGCAACCGACTTTGACTATAATTTTCTCTTTAAATTATATATTTCATTTACATTATATAAAATATTTTTACTTATCACACTTAATTTTTGTTTGTCTGTGGTATCATTTGACTCAATACACTAACCCACCATCTAAAAAAATTAGTTTTGTGATTCTTTGTATTTTCTATCATTGATAAAATTAAATTTCCATTTCCATCATTGATACCCTATACATTAAATTTTCTATCATTGACATTAAATTTTGTATTACATTTTTATCATTGATAAAATTATTTCTTATGTATAAAACTTATTTTTGTTCAATATAATGAAAGCATAATATTAGAGATGTACCCAATATTTTATTTTTTATAAATATATAATATTAGATATGTGACCAAAATTTTCTTTATCTTTTTTTTTTATGATTCTTTGTATTTTCTATTATTAAAAAATTTATTATTTGATTATGACATCATTTCATTTCTAGTTAGATTTTAAATTTATCATTCCATTTTCATCATTAATAAAAATACTTCTTACATTTCATAGTTATTTATTTTAAATTTTTATTATTTAATTATGACATTATTTATTAATCCATTTGACCNTTTGTTTTCAAATTACTTTTCAAAATATTTATTTTTATACTATTAAAATTATTATTGTGGATTTAATTACAATAATTTAATGATGAGAAAAATATATCTTAAATATAGGATTTAATGAGTAGAATAGGAAAATATTTTTATTTCTAATTGGTTTTAAATTTTACATTTCATTTCCATCATTAGTAAAAACATTTCTTATTTATCATACTTAGTATTGTTTAATATGTATGTTAAAAATGTTTCCATTTTTTTTTAATTTCTATTTTTTCATTTGATCTATTTTTGAATTTTATTATTTAATTGTGGCAACATGGATTGAACCATTTGACCCAAAATGATTTAATTTCTTACCATCACATAGATGAAAACACTATTTTTGTTACGTTTAAAAGTATAAACTTTTGTGTTATTGAAATTATTAATTTAATAAGTATGGATTTAATTAATAAAAGTTAATGATGAAAAGAAACAAAAATGACTTAAATATATGAATCAATGAACATGAATGCAAGTTAATAACTTAAATGTTGATTTTAATGAGAAATAATTGAATGCATTGAATATCTTAAAATTACCTATTTTAAACTCATTTAATATCAAGAACCGATTATCCTATTTGCCCTAATTTTTTATCAATAAATTTAAATATAAAAAGATATAGATATAGATATTTATTGAAACCTATTTTATTGATATATTTTGGGGATTTATCTGAGTTCCTCTAATGTATTCATGCATGTTGATCTTTTCATTGTGTATATGGATATTCAAAAAGCATGCTGAGATATGTTTGTTAAAATTGTCTGTTATTTATGCTCCTACCTTAATTTGGATTTTCCCTTACATTATCATTTTGGGCAAGTAGCAATTGGGTTTAGTTAAGCTGAAATTTGTCCCATGCACATAGAAGTTAGAACAAGGGGAACATGTTTTTGTTTGGGCTATGGACCAGAATGCCACGTGGAAATTTCTGAGCCATTTAGACTTTAGACTCGATCCAACCGTATAAACTCGTAAAACACCATTAGCCCCTGTAGTTTGTTACTGCTGGAAAACCTATACTCTGATCCTTCTTCTCACAAACCCGATCATACCAAAAACTCTTAACAAATGATTCAATGAAATAATTAACAACAATGTATTTGGGGAGAACATCTAATAGTTAAAAACAGCATGTAGGTCCATTGATTTCACACTTACGATTTTTTTTAAATAAGACCAGTAGGATCAGTTTGAAAAAGAGTATAAACACAAATATATACGATGCAGAAACTTGTATTTCACTGTAATATTTGTATTTGTACTCTTTCCAAATTAAGCTTTGAACCAATTTCATCATACTAATATTTTTACATTATATGGCTTTAAAAAAGTTACATTAACATGCAGTGAGAATAATCTAAACAAATAAGATTGTAGAGAAGAAGGGTCTCTCAAGTAGAAAAATGGTGAATTGAGGTCGAGCAAAAAGAAAAAAAAAACCAAGTAGAAAAATGAAGCTCACCAATGGCAAAACTTTTCTAGAGAATGAGCCATGTGGTTTCTGATGGAGCATGATTTGGATGCTCCTAGTTGGAGGATGATCTGGAATTTGGCTGTGTGACGAGTTGGTTCAGTCTATAAAATAGTAAAGCTCAGAAAACCCGGGGTGGCTAACCCGGGGAGGTCGCTTCGATGCTTAAGTTAGTATTGCGAGCTGAAAGTTGAATGATAAGTGTACTATTGAGCCAATAATTGTGTGTACCTGGGCTCTGGAGGGGTTGTTGCCTTTATATAACTGAGCTGTTGTAGACCTCACGAAAACAGTTCGGGGGTCTTCGGCCTGAGTGGATGAGATCCGTTTCCGCTCTAGTTGGAGAGTAACATGTCAGTTAGTGAAGTCTATAGTCCTTGCCCGATCCGGGAGGGGAGAGGATAAGGCCAGCTGTTATGCGGCGTGATCTCGTGAGGTTTGGTGTCTACTGTGAAGATTTTGGGGTCGATTACGTGTTTACTTTGGTTCTTGGGCCCCGAACTGGATTAGGTACCGAGGTGCCTCTATGCCGAGATGACTTTGTGCCGAGGTGACCGAACACCCGAGCTCTAAATATTGTTGATTGGGATCTTTTCGCTAAGTTGTCATCCTTTGGATATATCGCACCCACGTGACATTTACTTACTAGGTTGTGCCAAATTACCCTTCATCAATTTCATTCTATCAAAATGGTGAATTGAGGTGGAGCAAAAATAAAAAGAAAAGTTTCTCAGACTCGACACCAACAGAATGAATAAACCAAGGGAGAAGGAAGAATTAGAATCCACCAGCAACGGGAAGTAGACAATGTCCAAGTTTTATTTATTTTTGAGACTCCCTCTAGCTGAATTGCCCCTCAGGAACTCAAGTATAGGGGATGGTAAGTTTAAATGACGGAAAAATTATAGATTAGTACTCTATATTTTGGCTTAATCTTACTTTTTTTCTCTAAACTTAAAAACATGCCAACTCAGTATTTAAATTTCCAAAATCTGTCAATTTAGTACATGCCGTTAAACTTCCAAAACATGCCACACTAATTGGGACAATATTGGATCTCATCTGATCTGATTTCCACAACCTTGTATATTTTAGGTATTTACTTTTTTCCGCTGCTAGCGCTAGGCTAGCTTAGTTACAATTTACAAATTATTGATGGCATTCATCGTTGCAGTTGCAGGGCCTATCATATGTTTAATGGCTTAATGCTTTGCCGGAACTTACATGCATTAATGCAATGGACCCATCATGCCCACATTGGGTGTCCATTGGGCCACTGCCCACGTGATCCAAATTTGCCTTACTGGCCCAGCTTTACATATACGGTTTTGTACACCTGCAGGATGTGGATTAATCTGAGCCTAACCTGGCTGTACGATTAGATTGGGCTGGACTCTAGAGTGGTATCGGCGCATGAAGCAAACAGGTACATATATATTTAGTAACATTAAAT